AATTCGTACGTAAAATAGCCGTCGCCACGCACATACTGATTTTATCTCCAAATCCGGCGATGCAAAAACAAGCGTCTGCAGCTCCTTTTCTTCCCAGCAGCACCGCGGCTCCGGCGCCCCGCAACAAAAACTGGTTATTCAATACGTTTTGTAATTTGACAGAAAAAACTTGATGGGCACCAACAAAATCTTCCCCAAAACGCAGGCACATAAATCTGACTGGCGCTTTTATTTTCGTGAACTGACGCTTATTGTTTCCGAAAACTATTATTTCCAGCAGCAAAGTCTCTCGGTTGCTGGAGCGGCGGAAAAAAAATGAGACAGCCAGGAATGCGCTACTGATGGTGCCACTGTTTATAGGAATGGTCCAGCGCCGTTCCCATAATATTCGATTTCAAATTTATTTTGTTGTCTTCGATGCATGGGAAACTGGATTTTAGTTTTTATCTGGAAATGTGCTTGTAAACATGTTCAAAGAATTTAACCTTTTTTATCAAAATAAAATGTGATTAAAAATATAAAAATAAATTGAAATAATTGAATTTTTTAATTTAATACTTTACATTTTACTCTCTATAAAAGAATTGATTTTTTTAACTAAACATTATTATTACACATTTGAAGGGCAGTGCTTTCAGGATGTATATGCAAATGAGTCTCTTCGCCGGTCAATAATAAAAATAAAATGATGTGCAAGTCGTCGCGCAACAAATAATTACGAAGTTAGGCGCGAGCAATGACAGCTCCATCATCAGACAAGAATAATTCACACGTGCGCTCTGCATAAAATCAAGATGGAAAAAATAAATGGGTGTCAAATTGTTATGACCTCGATAAGAGCATCGACACTTCTTTTATTTTCACATGTTCATGCCATGCCATTCGAAAGACGATGATGATGATGATAATAACAATATATTTATACGTCTATCGACTCTCGGATGAAAGAAATTATAATAATCACGCCACGAGGACCAATAAGTATTGGAATGCGTTTTATTATTCAGAGCGCTGCGGACACGACGCCGCACATTATTTTGTATTCTCTTTTATTTGCCCCTCGCTGTGCATTATAAAATAAAATATGTGTAACATGACTTGTGCCTTGCTTGGTGCCGAGATCTCTATAACAGATGGTTGTGCTTATTGTTGCTTTTGTTGTTCTGAAATCAGGCGACTTTGCATATCAAAAGGAATTTCAAATACATCTGATAAAAATAATAAATTTAAATAATTATTTGCCTCAATTTTGTCATTAATTAATTATCATTTTATTTTTAAAATTGACTTTGTTCCTATTAATAGAAATATTATTGTTGTATTTTATGTTATATATCATCTAATTTTTAATTTTAGCGAAATAACATTTTCATAGCAATAAAATTATTGGAGTGTTTGAAGTAAAAACAGCTACCATAGAATTCAAAGCTATTCAACCAAACACCACACGGACAAAAATTTTTACCTACTGAACTCGGAAAGGTCTTGTTTTTTACGAGTCTCTGTTACATTTTCTGATTTGCTAAAATAATGTTTCCGACCCGAAGTGGGAAAAAAGCTATTGGAAGATGCTTCCAAGCAACTCGGAGAGAAACGTTTTTTCTGATCTAGCTCGGAAATATTTTCTGATAGCAAATAAGAAAAGTGGTATTCTTTCTGACTTAGCTCAGAAAGTGCATCTTACCAACACATTGTAAAGTTCTTCTGAGTGTGGTTTGATAATATTACCAATATAGTAGGAAATATATTACTTGAAACCGTCAAAATTTGAAAAGAAGCATCTCTCAACGAACTTTTGGGCAGCAACAGTCCAACAGTGGCAGTTGTTCTCCGACTGTGAGTTAGAAAGGACGCTCTCGTCGTGGTTTGCTCAAATTTAAAAAGGTAATTTTAATTTTAAATTGGATCTAAAATTGATTTTAACACACATTTTCCAAACGCAGCATCAGGGGTACAGCAGTTAACAAAGAAGCTGAGAATCGGAATCGCGCTTGAGTTTTTGCTGGACTTTCGGCCGCTGAATTCTTTTTAAAAGGTGTGTATTCATTTCCTATTTTTTTTTATCTTCTTAGTGCAACATTTTGTGTTAAAATTGAAACTAAAAGTTTGATGATTATTTCGTATTGTTTTAGATTATTTGCGGAAACATATAAAACCAAACGGAACTGCGGGAATTCAGCAGATCAAGAGCTATTCAGAAGTCAACGGTGAAGACGCGTGAAAAATGTTACACATCAAGAGGAAGCAGCATATATAGTGAGCAAACAAAGGCGCTGAAGATATGTGTTGAGTACATTTTGATTTATTACATTTTTTATTATTTCTATTTTTCTTGTATTCTAATGCACGCTAAGAATTGTTTCCAAATCTATCACAACACCACATTATGGAAATATTTATAATAATCATGTTTTAGTTGGACTTTGTTGTCTATTTTATGTGAAATTTTGCCTGTGTTAAATAATTTTGTGCTCTCGTTGTAATATATTATACGAAGTTTTAAAAATAAAAATTGTTATTTTACACTTATATATTTTTTCTGTTTTTCAATGTATAATATCACCCCTAATATACCTACAAGATATATATATGCAAAGAAAATGTAGCAAACTAAAGTGGAAAGCAATGTACGAAATAGCTCTCCAGCAGCAGAGGAGAGGAGATAGGAAAGCCTTTCTGATCAACTCGGAAGGTTTCAAGTACCTGAGCATACTAGCTAGATCGTAAAACCCTTCTTGGCCAGTTTGGAAAGGTTTTCCGAGCTAGCTCAGAAATACACGCCGAGATTGCACTCAGAAGCCTCTTCCCAAATTTGTACTATGTTCCGTTTTAAAAGAACAACTCAGAAAAACCTTCCGAGCAGTCGGAAGAAAATTTTCTCCGTGCAAACTAAACAATCCAATCAGTCAGTTTGATCTATGAAAAGGAGAATAGTTTTTGAAGGTCCTCTCTATTGTTTCCAACCAATTTCTCGCAAATCTGCAGAAAAAGAAACGATTTGCTCAAGCAAAAAAGCAGCTCGGCACGTTATCGAATAGTGACAATCAAACCGCGAACCAACGAAAAAGATTTTTTTCATTCAAAGTAATACAAAAATTGTATATCGCGTGTTGGGAGCACGAGCGCGGTATGTTTCACCAGTCACCGAAATAAGGCACATAGATAAATCACTAATCTCGATGGAAATCTCTTCAGCGTCGTGCTTGAAATAAAAATGTGGTTCGTCACTTGAGCAAATAAAACGCAGCGCGTATGACAAAAAGGGTTGGAAAGCTCATCAATATGCGCGCTCATGGCAACGTGTGGGGAAAAATTTGACAAAAAAAAAATCCACCGGTCTCGAATTGGTGCCGCGCCGAGAGAGACGAGGAAAAAGTTGCACCGCCGAGAGGACAATTGCGCCGAATACAATTACAAGCGCCAGCACACGGCCGCGAAATCGTTTGCTCCCGAGAGTAGCTCCTTATATGGTTCAGGTACTTTTTACATTGTGGAGCGTGCTGTGCAAAAAAGAAGTGACCGAAGCAATGTATGATAATGAGTTTTCTTTGTGTATTTATTGCAAAAGCGAGCCGCCGAAAACCAAATCATGTAGAACACTCTAAACCTGCAAAAGCGATTGCGTTCAATTATTTAGTTCGACGCACCTCAGGCGCTCCACACAATTTGCTTTTTAAAAGCCAATTTGGTTTTTTGTTCTTTCCACGTTAATTTTATCTCATGATAAAATCTCGATTTTTAATTAAAATGATTTTCCTTTCCAGCGGAACTTACTTAGTTATGGCCATGGCAAATAAAATTCACATTATTCACAGACTGAAGGCTTCTTGCGTGACATCAGCCTGTTTAAAATTCTGATAGGTTTCCGCATCAGGCGCGTGGCCTGTTCGCCCGCCTGATGCCTCCTTCAAGCTGATTGTGGCTCAATAAGCTGCATTGTTTTATTGTGTCTGCTTGTTCAATGTGCGATTGCCCCATGATGTGCACGCGTCGATTGCATTGGATTCTAAATATGCAACGCATTTTGTTAGAAGAAAATTTGAGCAAATGATAGAAGCCTCAACGGCAGAATAAAATCAAGAAGTTCTCATCCAGTGGAAATCTCTTATATTGTAATATAAAAGGTTTTATCCGGTTTTATCAATATTATAACCAAATTATGAAAGGAATGAGAGCTCTAATTATTCAGGTATGGAACCTAAGAAATTTAATTTTTATTCTCTAACTGAATGAAAATGAATGCATAAATTATCCATGAGCTTTAGTGACCTGTTCACCAGGATTGGCTGCCGATAATGTAAATGTAATTTTATGACTTGCATATTTCTTTTTTTTCTTGTTATTTTGACTTGTTATGTAGAGAATAAAACAAATTGAAATTGAATTGTACATCTGTATCTATTTTCAAATTAATTTAAAGGTATATAGATACCCAATACGCAACCCGCAGTTTTTATACGAAGGGCAAGTTGCCTGATATTCATTTATAAAATTTTCGCCATTTGTCTTAACACATTTATTCATATCTCTAAACGAGATTATTTTTAAATTTCTTCTAGGATTATTTAAAGACACAAAAAATAGTTAGTCTCGATATATTTTCTAGGACAGAAGGACCAAAATGCCAAATATTTTGGCTGAAAATTGGAAGATAGGCCCGTCTGTATTTCTTTCAACGCGTTTTCATTTTCTTAAACAAGAGCTTGAAATTTTCGAAATTTTCATTTAAGTGGCCAAAAGTACTTTTAATTGTATATAATTATAATAAAATATATTATTCCCAATTATATATTACGTGTATTGTATTATAGAGATAGGAAATCAGATACTGTACTACGAACTACGATCGCATAAGGTTGGCATCTTTTAATAATAATAATTGTTTATTTTTCCAATCATTTAAATTTAAATGACATTTATCAATTCCATACAAACACATGCAAAAAAGTTCCTTTCTCTGCAAGTTCCCGCTTCTGCGCTTTTTATTCCAGCAGCGCCTCTGGTGGCAAATAGCTACACTCTCACCAAAACATTAAAACATAATTTTCCCACGTGTGTTTTGCGTTTTGCCAAGAAAATAAATTTGCTGGGAACGAGCGAGACGAGGTAAATCAACAATTCGCCAATTATTTTACTATTTGCAACCCTGTAATTTGAAGGTAAGATGTAAATAACATTTAAGTCTCCAATCTTTTTAAATCTTGAGTAAATATATCTCCGAAAATGCTTGAACAGAATTGATCATTTTACAGGAAAAATAATGTTGCGCCGGCAGGCTCGTTTGAGGCGAGAGTATTTGTACAGGAAGTCCCTTGAGGACAAAAGGAAGAGCATTCAAGACAAAAAGGATCGCTTGAAGAAGAGCTTGGAGCAGAACCTGCCGATTCACACCGACCTTAAAAGAGATGCACTTCAACTGCAGAAAAAGTTGGACTGGGAGGACCAGGGGCCGCAGGTGGCCGCAGTCGTGGGCGATGAAACCGGCGGAGCAGCCGGCACCCACGAGGACGACGAATACCGCTGGGCAGGAGTTGAAGACCCGAAGGTTTGAGTCACTGAAATTTTGCCCAAGTTTTCCTAAACCTTGATTATTGTTTCATTTCTAGGTGATGATCACCACTTCTCGAGACCCTTCGTCCAGGCTGAAAATGTTCGTCAAAGAGTTGCGTTTGGTGTTTCCGAATTCGCAGAGGATGAACCGAGGTAATTACGAAATCAAGCAGCTGATGCACGCCTGTCGAGCCAACAACGTGACGGACTTCATCGTCGTACACGAACACAGGGGTGTCCCCGATGCCCTGGTTGTGTGCCACCTGCCTTACGGGCCGACCGCTTTTTTCACTCTCAGCGACGTCATCATGAGGCACGACGTCCCGGACATTGGCACCATGACCGAGCAGTATCCTCACTTAGTGTTTCACAATTTCAAAAGCAAACTCGGAAATCGAGTGACCAACATTCTCAAATACTTGTTTCCTGTAATGTGCAAATTTTTCTTTTGATTGATTGGTCTAATTTTAATTTCACAATAGGTGCCCAAAGAGGACAGCAAAAGGGTGATCACCTTTGCCAACCATGATGACTACATTGCATTCCGACATCACACGTATTCTAGGGATAAGCAGAATGTAGATCTGAAGGAAATCGGACCAAGATTTCAGTTACGGTTGTACGAAATCAAGCTCGGAACTCTGGAGCACGAGGCTGCGGCAGACACAGAATGGGCTTTGAGGCCCTACATGAACACCTCAGCCAAAAGAAGATTTTTGTCCGATGAAGATGGCTGGCAGCAAGAAGACGATTTTTAAATATCCAAAATACAACATTATTCCTTAAATTGAAAATCTTTTTAATGTTTTTTCCCCAATTTTTTTTTTTTAAATATTTACAATCCGCACATAATTATTTAGTTAATTCAATAAAAGATAAAATTTATATGATTATCAAGCTAGCGAGCAGGTTATGTGAGGCATTAATATAGAAAGCTCTTTTTAACTGTGGATTCAAAATCATTTATAAAAACTCTCAGAGCATTACAAAGAAAGCTTCATCTTCAAATCAAAACAGCCGGTGCCAACTTTGATAGCCTGGCCGGCAATCAAACATGCAGAAGGTGTCCTCACATTGTCAGTTTTTGCCTCCAGAACTGCACTTCGCAGGAAGGTGAGCGATGACTCGAAGGTCATCTGCTGAAATGGAGAAGAATGAGCTCCAATTCCACCTCTGTTGAGCGCTCTGTAGGTGCCGTCGAAGGTCATGTAGTCTGCGATTAGAAGCAAATGGCGTGGATCGACAGTGATCCCGTAAACTCCAAACACATTCTGCACTTCTTTCACTAAAATCCGACTGGCCGCTTCGATGCCGTAAACTTGTGCGAAGGCGTGAATGTCGTTGACGTACATCCTACTGATGTCGAGGATCTTGTGATATTTGAACATTTCCTAAATAAATTCAAGATATTAGTACCTTTGAATCAAAATATTATTGGGAAAAATTACTTTTATGTTCATTCCGTCAACTTTCAGCATCATCTCATCCTTGGAATTCTTGTAAATAAACGCCTTGTTTATTGACGGCACTTGCCAAATGACTGCTTTGTGTGCAACCTCCTTCAAAAGAGTGGACATGTCTACCTTTTTGTATTTCAGTGGTACCTATGATTAGATTATTAATATAAAGCTCTACTTTTTTGGATTTAGAAACAAACCCCCAGCACAGCTTCACACCACAACTCCTCCTGAGCGTCATATCTATATTGCAGGAGAAAAACGGATTTCTGCTTGACAGCCAAGGCTCGATCACTACTATGAGTGTCGTCATCATCATGCATTGCGTCAAAGAAACTGGCCTCTTGGTCTGCAGCAGTGGTTGACTTATTCAGTTCGGGAATAGCCTCCCGGATCTCATCATCAACCTCGTCATCATTTTCATGGTCACTCTCTGGCAAATTGTATGGTTAAAATTGAAAATATCAATTCAGTACTCAGTGCAAACCTTTCTCTTCCTCCTCTTCCTCTGGATCTTCATAATCCCTATCTTCAGTGTGCTTGGATTTCATGCGGGACGTGGTGGCGTCGTCGTCGTCGCCTTCTGCCTCTTCGTCCGAACTCAAATGGTCATCTGTGTTTCCAACATTAAGAGGCTTTGCAACACCTTGCTTTTCATCATCGTCATCCTCGTCGTTTCCAGCTCCCATTCTTGCTTCTCGCTCAGCTTTGGTGAGCACACTGCAATGCTGAATAAGAATTTGTAATCAATGCAGAATTTTGCATACTTACGCATCAAGCTTGCACTTCATTGCCTTTCTCATGGTGAACTCCAGGAATTTGAAGAAGGTTCCCTCCATGTATTGCAAAACCTTTTCAGGAGTTAGAGGGAATCTATTTTTGTAGGCCGCTTCTGGGAGGAATTTGAAGTGCATCTTGTACAGGTTCATTCGGTCTCCACTGCGGAGGTCCATTTTTTCGTGGACTTCGATCTTTTCCAAAACATCCGCGACCGTAACTTTGGTAAAACGCAGCTTGAACTTTTCCGCCTTTCTCTCTGATATGTGCGGCAAGAAGGGTATGTCCATGGCTGGTGTTTTCTGATTCTTGGACGCCATCATGAGTAGTTCTCGAAGTCGAGGAATACCTAGGGTGACGTTCATGTCACCTCTTCCAGCAAAGTGGAATGTGTTCAGTGTCATCTGAGTGGATGGTTCTCCAATAGACTAAGAAATTGTTTTTGTACTTATTACAAAATTTCAACTTATTTACAAAATTACCTGGGCTGCCAAAATTCCAACCGGTTCACCTGGGGGAGCCTGCGAAGTCATACTTCTCTGTGCAATTAAGGTGGCGAGCTTTGCACTTTCATCTTCATCAAGGTGTTGCTTTGAAATGTGATTTTCCACGTTTTTCTCCAATTTTTCGGTGATGGAACCAAAGTCACGATTGAGATTGAATCTAGAAGATATCGGATCAGGACAATTTCTGCTGCTCTTTGAAAATCTACGAAAAACAAAATAAATTCAAAGCCTGTTGCATAAAATTTAATAGGAAATTATTACTTTCTTTTCGTTTTATCATCTAGCATTCTCCAAGCTTCAACAGCACCTAAAGACGTGTTGGTTCGCCCATGGCTCTGCACAATTCTAACGTCAACGTCATCAAGAGACAACTGCTTTGAAAACTCTAGGAAAGGAGTTGTTTTTTTGTGTTCGGGATGCTTGTTTTTCCACTTCCTCAGCTGCATTGCACAAAAAAATATTTATATTAATAAATAATAAGCTATTAAGTTCTACCTCTTTCTTTGCACTGGCAACAAGTTCACAATTCTCAGTATGTTTCAAAACGTCCACAATATTACTGTCCAAAACAATGTCGGAATTGTTAAGAAGGACATGAATTTGACTGGCGTCCAGGAATTGAGCTTTGCAAACATCCATTCCATCCTCACCATAGTAAAACTAAAACACAAATTCATAAAACTTTTCCGTAATTTCTGTAGGCAAAACTTTTACCTGAATCACACTTCCATCACAATCTCTGACAGTCTGATCATAGGCTACAGAGAGGCCTTCTAAATGCTTGATCAAGCATCTTTGTAGATAACCACTACGACTTGTCTTCACAGCTGTATCAATCAAACCCTGAAGCAAGTTTGAAATTGTAAATTGGAGCATTTGAAAAAAATTAAATTTTTACTTCTCGACCAGCCATGCAATGGAAGAAAAATTCTTGAGGCTGAATTCCAGTCATGAAACGTCCGTCGATGAATCCTCCTGCTCTCGGGGAAGTGTCAAAAGGTAGGAACGACGGTAGAGACTTGCCCGAGACCATCAGTGGCGGTCTCTTGCCTTCCAATTCAATTTGACCCAACAGGCAGGAAATCTGCATAGTATTCACAGTGGAACCTTTGGCACCTGACTGGACCATTAGCTGGAGGTTGTTTTGAGGAAACTTGTTGATCAATCCAGTTGGAAGACAAACTCTGAATGAAAAGAAAATCAAATCATTATGAAGAGTCTGATCTAATTAAATAAATACTTGTTGATTTCGTTGGTGTATTTGTCAAGCAACTGCTTGTATTTTCTGTCCATGATGGTCCTGTACTTGTTGACATCTTCACTGAACAACTTTTTCATTTCTTGCTGCAACTTCTCAGTCGGAGTGTCCAGCGGGCACTCCAATGCCTCTGCTACGACCTGATCTCCAATCTGCAATTTATTAATAAATTTTTGATGATGATGATTCGAGCAGAAAAAAATATACCATTCTTGATTCATTGATTGCTTTGGATCTCTTTTTGTCAGCCTTTCTCAAAACCAGAATGTCAGCAACACCCAAAGTGAAGCCATCGTTTTGTAGATAATTAGTGAAGAGCTTGGCCAGTGCACTTAAAAGCAGAGCAGAGTATTTGCCACCATAAAGCTGAAATATTTGCGTGAGTAAAAATATAATTTTACCGAAGAAAAATTACTTCAAAAACGCAATGAACTAGACCAAAAGGAGTTGCTCCGTAATGCTTTTTGTCGAGAACCCCACAAAGAAGCTCTCCATGTCTGATGATCACCTCAGCCTCTGTCATTTCATTGGGATTCTTGAAGGGGGTCCCTCCACAAATCCATTCTCTCGGAGGAAGCTTCTCCCAAGCCTTAAAAATACAAAAATTATGACAACTAACATAACATCACAAACTATTTACTACCTTTGCACCAATTTTAGCGGAAGACTCGAGGCTCAAAGGAGGTTTGTTTTTTGGCAAGACATTCAGCAAGACTGTTGAAATAACCTGTTTGCCCGTCCAAAGAACTTTCGGCTTCAGGATGGCAGGTGGCAACAGCTTGATTTTCCCGGGTATGCCAGAGAGTCCTTGGTAAACATAGTGCTGGTAATTTTCTCTGTTCAAAAATTTCCCTCGGATCGAAAGTCGAACACCAGAGATGACGTGATCTTGAATCAGGCCACTGAGAGGTGTGCCATTCTTGGGCACCAAGTAATTCTGGCATACATTCACTAGATTTTAAATTATTATTAAAAAATTTAAGAGCAACAGTTACTATAATACCAAGGTTTACAGCTTCACTTCTAGCAACGTGGTTTTGGGGAAAGTGGGCATTCATTTCGTCACCGTCAAAATCAGCGTTATAGGAACTGCAGTTTGCATAGTGAAGTCGCATAGTCTTCTCTCGTTTCAGAATCCTGGCTTTGTGGGCCATGATGGAGGGTCTGTGAAGAGTGGGTTGACGATTCAAAAGCAGAACATCTCCGTTTTGAAGGTGCCGGTGAACAATTTTTGGCCCTTTGAAATTGAATTCTGAAGGTGCCAGCAGTCTCTTGGCCCAAGCAGCCCTCTGTGATTCCTCACGTAAGTTACTGATCGTCCCATTCTCATTTTCAATCAAAACAGCTCTGAAAAATAAAAAAAAATAAAATGGGTCTCCACAAACTAATAAGAAACACTCTGCGTACCCAGGATGCTTGTATGGGCCATTGAGAACTAGCTTCCTCATTTCATCAACGTTCCAAGGAGTAACGGGAGTTGGAAACGTAAGCTTCAAGGCAAAAGCCTCTGGAATTCCGATTTCGTCGACATTCAAATTCGGATCAGGAGTGATGACAGTTCGAGCGGCAAAATTGACTCGTTTTCCCATCATGTGCATTCGGAAAAGTCCAGCCTTCTTTTCGACCACCTTTTAAAAAGAATCAAAGTTTTACTTCAAGCACAGAAAGAAAATGAATAATCTAAGAGTACCTGCTTCACACCAAAGCATCGGTCTCCACTGGTCAGCTTGTTTGTGTCTTTGTCAAGGATGTGGTCGACATCTGACTGCATCTCGTCACAGATAAGACCCAATTTTTCTTCAGGAGTTGATCCTTTAAGTTTTGTGATGAGGAGCTGTGGTAGGTAAAATTGTGAAACAAGGTAAAATTTGAACAATTTAGAGTTTGAAATCGATCTACCTTTGCTTCTTCCGTCAACTGCGAATCACCCTCCTTCATGCTTTTCAGGAGGTTCTGAACCACAATCACATTTTGCATCACAACTTTGAGAGTGAACGATTGAGGGTGTTCAATAACTCCTCTGGCTGATTTGTTGACCTGAATTGATTTCATATTAAAATCATGTTTAATTAAAAATTTGAAATCGTACAGGCCTGCAATTAGGTGGGATGACAGGGAGCACTTCCAAGAAGAACAAGTCTGTTGGAAACTGCATGTCGTTTCTTTTGAGGACTGGAAACAGTGTTTCGAGGAATTCCTGCTCGTTGAGCCAGATCGATCGCATGTTGTCTCTACAAAATTAAAGTAAATAAGCCAACCAAAATCAGTGTCCAAATTTTCCTACCGAAGCTCATCAGCCCTGATGGTGACAGTAGCTCCCTTCGCTGCTCCTCTTCCTCTCTTAGTGTGAACAGCTGGCTTTGGTGTGGACTGCTGAGACGTTTGACCTCTGCTTAAAATTGGTAACAATTAGTTAAACCACAAAAGCACAACTCAGCCAGACATACTCTGCGAATTTATCAGCTACTTCGACTTTGCTTTGCGGTACTAAAAATTTGCACTGGTACAAAGTGTATCTCTTGATCGGCTGCTTGCACTTGGCACACTTCTTGCCAGAGGGAAGAGAGCGGAAGCACGCATCAGTGAACATGCGGCGCAAAGCCTCATAGGTTTGGGTCAGAGGTGGCTTTTCTGGCTCACCCTCTGTGAATTTTTTTCATTAATATTTTACTTTTCAGCCATTGAATATTGTATTACCTTTGGCCATCTTTTTAATGAAGTTGTCGAACTGCTCCTTTGCCCACTCGCCAAAATAGTTGTCTGTCATGTCAGCGGGCCTGTTGTTCAGCTCCATTTCTACACTCATGGCTGACGTGCTGAGGCCCATGTCCAACAGCTGGATCCGTGCCATGAAGAGATATTTTGCAAAGTCTGCAGAAAAATATTGTGAAATAAAAATGTTTTCCGAAATCTTTCTTTAATTTTCTTGCCTGGAATCCTAGCGTGGTGGCACTTGACGCATGATATGTTCAGGACATTGCTGAGTTGCCTCCTGAGGAAAGGGTTCACCATAGGAACAGGGAGTTCAATGTGCCCCATGTGGCCATTGCAGCGAAACGAATTCAACCCGCATGTTCCACAGTGAGAATCTCTCTCATAGGAAGGGCCTGACAAGAATAAAGTTTAATGACTTGAAAACCCACATTACAACAAAACGAACCCATCAAGACGTCGTAGAGACCCCCTGGAAGTGGAGCTCCAAATTTATCAAAAGACAGCGGCGTCGTAACCTGCACAACACTGGCTTTGCGGATTTCATCGCTTGACATGAGTCCGAAAGTGATCTTTTGGATTTTTTTACGAACTATTTGATTATCCTGGCCTTTCATTTTTTTTAAGATTAATGTCTGCAAAGATAACGAGGAAATAAATACGATTAAAATTTACAAAACACCGGAGAGTTCCTTACCTTTGTTTTTTTCAGCTCAAAGCTCAAATCATTGGAAAATGTCTAGAGATTCAATGAATTTTGAAAGAACATTTATTCCTTTTCGGAACACATCAATAGATTGGCTACAACCATATATTCTAATAAGTAATTTAATCTTTGCTAGAAATGTTTTTGAAATTATTTTCACACGTGAGTCGCGACCAAGGGGAATGTTTATTTATTCTCCTAAACAACTCGAATCAACTTTCTGATTTCTGAAAACGCGTTTTCTTATTCCGATCGGTTGATTCAGAAGTCTCTTCCCCTCCTGGCGTTCACACGTGTGGTAGCGCTGCGATCGCCGAGTGGGCCCTGCCCCAGCAGCCTGCAGGGAAAGCGGGGGAGGCGAGGCGGGAGGCGCCGTGCTGCCAGAGTGCCAGAAGCCATGAAAGAAGTGCAAAAGCGCTCATCAGAGCTCATTTCTTCTCCATTGCAGCAGATGACCTTCGAGTCCTAGTTAGTCCTGATCGTAAAAATCCAATTTCAAACGTCAAACAATCCTAATTTATCTATATCGTGAATTTTAAAATTGCGAAAAGTGTTAGTCCTGGTTAGTCCTGACCGTAAAAATCCAATTTCAAACGTCAAACAATCCTAATTTGCCTTAATCGTAGATTTTGAAATTACGAAAAGTGTTAGACCTGGTTAGTCCTGATCGTTAAAATCCAATTTCAAACGTCAAACAAGCCTAATTTGCCTTAATCGTAGATTTTGAAATTATGAAAAGTGTTAGTCCTAGTTAGTCCTGATCGTAAAAATCCAATTTCAAACGTCAAACAATCCTAATTTGCCTTAATCGTAGATTTGTAAATTATGAAAATTGTAAGTCATAGTTAGTCCTGATCGTGAAAATCCAATTTCAAACGTCAAACAATCCTAATTTATCATTATCGTGAATTTTAAAATTGCGAAAAGTGTGAGTCCTGGTTAGTCCTGATCGTAAAAATCCAATTTCAAACGTCAACCAATCCTAATTAACCTTTATCGTGAATTTTAAAATTGCGAAAAGTGTTAGACCTGGTTAGTCCTGATCGTAAAAATCCAATTTCAAACGTTAAACAATCCTAATTTATCTTAATCGTGAATTTTAAAATTGCGAAAAGTGTTAGTCCTGGTTAGTCCTGATCGTAAAAATCCATTTTTAAACGTAAAACAAGCCTAATTTGCCTTAATCGTAGTTTTTGAAATTACGAAAAGTGTTAGTCCTAGTTAGTCCTGATCGTAAAAATCCAATTTCAAACGTCAAACAAGCCTAATTTGCCTTAATCGTAGATTTTAAAATTACGAAAAGGGTTAGTCCTGATCGTAAAAATCCAATTTCAAACGTCAAACAATTCTAATTTGCCTGAATCGTAGATTTTGAAATTACGAAAAGTGTTAGTCCTAGTTAGTCCTGATCGTGAAAATCCAATTTCAAACGTCAAACAATCCTAATTTGCCTTAATCGTAGATTTTGAAATTACGAAAAGTGTTAGTCCTAGTTAGTCCTGATCTTAAAAATCCAATTTCAAACGTCAAACAATCCTAATTTGCCTTATAATCGTAGATTTTTAAATTACGAAAAGTGTTAGTCTGGTTAGTCCAGATCGTAAAAATCCAATTTCAAACGTCAAACAATCCTAATTTATCTTTATCGTGAATTTTAAAATTGCGAAAAGTGTTAGTCCTGGTTAGTCCTGATCGTAAAAATCCAATTTCAAACGTCAAACAATCCTAATTTATTTTTATCGTGAATTTTAAAATTGCGAAAAGTGTTAGTCCTGGTTAGTCCTGATCGTAAAAATCCAATTTCAAACGTCAAACAATCCTAATTTGCCTTAATCGTAGATTTTGAAATTACGAAAAGTGTTAGTCCTAGTTAGTCCTGATCGTAAAAATCAAATTTCAAACGTCAAACAATCCTAATTTGCCTTAATCGTAGATTTTGAAATTACGAAAAGAGTTAGTCCTAGTTAGTCCTGATCGTAAAAATCCAATTTCAAACGTCAAACAATCCTAATTAATCTTTATCGTGAATTTTAAAATTGCGAAAAGTGTTAGTCCTGATTAGTCCTGATCGTAAAAATCCAATTTCAAACGTCAAACAATCCTAATTTATCATTATCGTGAATTTTAAAATTGCGAAAAGTGTTAGACCTGGTTAGTCCTGATCGTAAAAATCCAATTTCAAACGTTAAACAATCCTAACTTTTCTTAATCGTGAATTTTAAAATTGCGAATAGTGTTAGACCTGGTTAGTCCTGATCGTAAAAATCCATTTTTAAACGTAAAACAAGCCTAATTTGCCTTAATCATAGTTTTTGAAATTACGAAAAGTGTTAGTCCTAGTTAGTCCTGATCGTAAAAATCCAAATTCAAACGTCAAACAAGCCTAATTTGCCTTAATCGTAGATTTTGAAATTACGAAAAGGGTTAGTCCTAGTTAGTCCAGATCGTAAAAATCCAATTTCAAACGTCAAACAAGCCTAATTTGCCTTAATCGTAGATTTTGAAATTATGAAAAGTGTTAGTCCTAGTTAGTCCTGATCGTAAAAATCCAATTTCAAACGTCAAACAATCCTAATTTGCCTTAATCGTAGATTTTTAAATTATGAAAATTGTAAGTCCTAGTTAGTCCTGATCGTGAAAATCCAATTTCAAACGTCAAACAATCCTAATTTATCATTATCGTGAATTTTAAAATTGCGAAAAGTGTGAGTCCTGGTTAGTCCTGATCGTAAAAATCCAATTTCAAACGTCAACCAATCCTAATTAACCTTTATCGTGAATTTTTAAATTGCGAAAAGTGTTAGACCTGGTTAGTCCTGATCGTAAAAATCCAATTTCAAACGTTAAACAATCCTAATTTATCTTAATCGTGAATTTTAAAATTGCGAAAAGTGTTAGTCCTGGTTAGTCCTGATCGTAAAAATCCATTTTTAAACGTAAAACAAGCCTAATTTGCCTTAATCGTAGTTTTTGAAATTACGAAAAGTGTTAGTCCTAGTTAGTCCTGATCGTAAAAATCCAATTTCAAACGTCAAACAAGCCTAATTTGCCTTAATCGTAGATTTTGAAATTACGAAAAAGGTTAGTCCTAATTAGTCCAGATCGTAAAAATCCAATTTCAAACGTCAAACAAGCCTAATTTGCCTTAATCGTAGATTTTGAAATTACGAAAAGGGTTAGTCCTAGTTAGTCCTGATCGTAAATATCCAATTTCAAACGTCAAACAAGCCTAATTTGCCTTAATCGTAGATTTTGAAATTATGAAAAGTGTTAGTCCTAGTTAGTCCTGATCGTAAAAATCCAATTTCAAACGTCAAACAATCCTAATTTGCCTTAATCGTAGATTTTTAAATTATGAAAATTGTAAGTCATAGTTAGTCCTGATCGTGAAAATCCAATTTCAAACGTCAAACAATCCTAATTTATCATTATCGTGAATTTTAAAATTGCGAAAAGTGTTAGTCCTGGTTAGTCCTGATCGTAAAAATCCAATTTCAAACGTCAAACAATCCTAATTTGCCTTAATCGTAGATTTTGAAATTACGAAAAGTGTTAGTCCTAGTTAGTCCTGATCGTAAAAATCAAATTTCAAACGTCAAACAATCCTAATTTGCCTTAATCGTAGATTTTGAAATTACGAAAAGAGTTAGTCCTAGTTAGTCCTGATCGTAAAAATCCAATTTCAAACGTCAAACAATCCTAATTTGCCTGAATCGTAGATTTTGAAATTACGAAAAGTGCTAGTCCTAGTTAGTCCTGATCGTAAAAATCCAATTTCAAACGTCAAACAATCCTAATTTGCCTTAATCGTAGATTTTGAAATTACGAAAAGTGTTAGTCCTAGTTAGTCCTGATCGTAAAAATCAAATTTCAAACGTCAAACAATCCTAATTTGCCTTAATCGTAGATTTTGAAATTACGAAAAAAGTTAGTCCTAGTTAGTCCTGATCGTAAAAATCCAATTTCAAACGTCAAACAATCCTAATTAATCTTTATGGTGAATTTTAAAATTGCGAAAAGTGTTAGTCCTGATTAGTCCTGATCGTAAAAATCCAATTTCAAACGTCAAACAATCCTAATTTATCATTATCGTGAATTTTAAAATTGCGAAAAGTGTTAGTCCTGGTTAGTCCTGATCGTAAAAATCCAATTTCAAACGTCAAACAATCCTAATTTATTTTTATCGTGAATTTTAAAATTGCGAAAAGTGTTAGTCCTGGTTAGTCCTGATCGTAAAAATCCAATTTCAAACGTCAAACAATCCTAATTTGCCTTAATCGTAGATTTTGAAATTACGAAAAGTGTTAGTCCTAGTTAGTCCTGATCGTAAAAATCAAATTTCAAACGTCAAACAATCCTAATTTGCCTTAATCGTAGATTTTGAAATTACGAAAAGAGTTAGTCCTAGTTAGTCCTGATCGTAAAAATCCAATTTCAAACGTCAAACAATCCTAATTAATCTTTATCGTGAATTTTAAAATTGCGAAAAGTGTTAGTCCTGATTAGTCCTGATCGTAAAAATCCAATTTCAAACGTCAAACAATCCTAATTTATCATTATCGTGAATTTTAAAATTGCGAAAAGTGTTAGACCTGGTTAGTCCTGATCGTAAAAATCCAATTTCAAACGTTAAACAATCCTAATTTATCTTAATCGTGAATTTTAAAATTGCGAAAAGTGTTAGTCCTGATCGTAAAAATCCATTTTTAAACGTAAAACAAGCCTAATTTGCCTTAATCGTAGTTTTTGAAATTACGAAAAGTGTTAGTCCTAGTTAGTCCTGATCGTAAAAATCCAATTTCAAACGTCAAACAAGCCTAATTTGCCTTAATCGTAGATTTTAAAATTACGAAAAGGGTTAGTCCTGATCGTAAAAATCCAATTTCAAACGTCAAACAATTCTAATTTGCCTGAATCGTAGATTTTGAAATTACGAAAAGTGTTAGTCCTAGTTAGTCCTGATCGTGAAAATCCAATTTCAAACGTCAAACAATCCTAATTTGCCTTAATCGTAGATTTTGAAATTACGAAAAGTGTTAGTCCTAGTTAGTCCTGATCTTAAAAATCCAATTTCAAACGTCAAACAATCCTAATTTGCCTTATAATCGTAGATTTTTAAATTACGAAAAGTGTTAGTCTGGTTAGTCCAGATCGTAAAAATCCAATTTCAAACGTCAAACAATCCTAATTTATCTTT